TTGGATCTATTTAATAGGAAAAAGGCTAAAAAGTTTAATCCTCGCGGCTGCGATCTTCCAGGCCCGGTGCCCTGGGAGAAGAGAGAAGTCTTGGGCAGGCCAGATTAGTTGGGATAGTGTTTCCTGCAGAGACGGAATGGATAATTCTTAGGACGAACCCTTAAGTGCCGAAGCACACGTGAAGCCGTGAGGCAGGTTAGGTCCGGACTGCAGCCCCCGAAAAGTGGTCATTTATATCCACATGACATCTATTAGGCCTGTCTAACTGTACGACTTTCATTATCCTGCAATAGTAACGACCCCATGATGAATTTTTGAAAACATAAGTTTACCGAATATGCACAAGAGTACATTAGTTCAGAAGAAGAAGAAACAACCACTGGAACAAGAGGTTTATTGTTCTGACCTTTCGGATTCCCTCGGCAACCCTTAATCACAGGTAATGGTAGAACATTCTGAGACATGCGCAGATAAGTGTGATACATGCACCGATTGTACGGTATTTATAGTTCGCATGCGTGCTATAATTGTCAGTTCTTTTAGCCACCGCTTGAGGTCTCAATTGGTGCGGTGATGGCTCATTAACTGCCATAGCGTTCTTGTCCGCGTCGGATGCGGGTTTGATAATTGCGCGACAATTATGCCTGCTGGTGTCAGAGTTGTTGCTGTGCCCGGTCTTTTCCACATGTCGGATCCTCTTGCTCGGGAAATGTCTTAGTACACCGTATGAGAACGCCAAATCGTTGCGCTTGTTGATGGACTGGGGCCTGAGAACCATGACTCCAGCAGCTGGCGGCTCACGCAGTTGTCATCTCTTGCGAGGATTTCGGCCTTGTCGAAGTTGAAAATATGGCCGGGTCCCATCGAGTGAACTGAAACCTGGAAATTGGCGTCTTTCTTTCTCATATGCCGCTGCGTGCTCGGCCATTCGCATACGGAATGATCTCCCGGCTTCTCCGCCCTACTTGCTTTGTCTACAACTGCACCAGATCCGGCAAACGACTCTAGCCGTTTCCTGTTATGGCAATGGGTTTTTCGGCATCAGGACCCGGCGCCCGATGGTTGCTTCCAGCCTGTGCGCAACTCCAACTCCAAATGAGATAAGTAGGCGGCTGACCGCTTCCGATATATTCTTCATGTACTTAAGAGCTCGCCAAACGTTTGGGCCAGTTGAGCGTGGCTTCTTCTCTTGTTTGCACTATGTATTAGTTGAAAAGATTGCGCGGGTAACCATTTAGTCTGAGCTCTTTAAGCGTCATCTGAAGTGCTCACATATGTAAACGCAAGGCCTGGTAAGGCCGCTGCATGCTCTGTTTATTTCCAAGCCCTTTTCTCACAAAATCAATCTCCCGATTGACAGATGACTCATTCAGAGGAAGAAGAAGGTGCGACCACTGGATCAAAAGTTATATTTTCCTGACGTTTCGGATTCTGTCGAGAGTCTTTGATCATAGATAATCGTAGGAATGTGCGAGACATGTGTAGATGACCCATTAACACTTTGGATGCGAACATCACCCAAAAGTAATGTACATCATCTTCATGTGACAATACTTGGCATACTATAGATGAAATTCGGTTTGATAAACGCACGATGCGGAGACGAAATTTTCAAAACCATTATCAGTGCTCAAAGCATTCTGTGGCTTAATGCGTGTCCTCAATTCTGACAAACTTGCCATCAAACGGCAGCGGCCCAAACTTAGTTATTATTTGCTTGTATTAATTTATCATTTGAGCACTCTTAGAATTTAACCTGAGAACAGTAAATTACGTATCCACGCCCGGACCTTTTAGTTTTTACTTACTGACGCAATTGCTAACATTCTTCGTTCCCGTGTCGGGGTGTAAGGGGACTGTAGCTTCAATACAGGAGCTATTGTATTGACCTTAATTATGCCTCGACGTACAGACATAAGCTCATAAAAACGTAGGGCTCTGATTACAAGAGCAGTACAGTGAAAAATTATATGTGTTAACATGTTTGACGGCATACATTTTTCATTCGCTTAGGGTGTTTTTATTATATATTTTTTGTCATGTTTTATACGCTAAATGCGGTTTGAGAATTGTTATCATCCTTTGGTTAATATCAACATCTTATGGACCCATACTGTATATGCTTGCTGAATGACGTCACTTGTGTCAGTATTAGTGCTCAATTCTGCCTCGTGAGACGCGATGACATTGTAGGACACGTGGTTTCCGACACAGCTGACGTCTGACGACTTAACGAGAGCTGCTGCACCAATGGCACTCGACTAAGCGTATCAACCTTCACAGGTGCAAGCTCGCTAGATTCCGATGAGTGGCAATCAACATCCGGGATTTGTCGATTGCTTCTGTACTATGCGCTGTGCACGCAAATGGACGGTATACGTAAACGGCAGCATCTCATATAAATATCGCATATCCTGATCCGGATCATCATACTTCCTCTGGCGGTGATCTCTCCTGTGTTCTCGACATTACAATGACGTGGTCAGACTTCAGGGGGTGCTTTTACGCTATGTTGGTTGGTTCTGGCATCGTCTCCGTCCTGCTGGGAATAGCCGGGGTGGTTGCTGGGTCAGTCCTTATCGCGCAGAATCCCTTACCGGAGGGCACTACTTGGTGGGGCGAAGACGGCACCTGGAACAAGTGGTGGAACAACCCATCCAGTCAGGAGTGGTACGTCAGCTAGTACATCATATTAATTCATTTTAATTTACTAAATTTAAAATTGTATGTTTGCAAATTACTGCGATGCTATAGGTGTTCGTGAAGATACTATTCCAGTTTAGCCTTACGCACTCATAAGAGAGCGATGCACTGTAACCGAATGCACATTAGGTACTCAGCTTTTGCCGTTTTCATCAAGCTTCGTGTAATGTATATATATATATATATATATATATGTTGAAATATGGGCAAAACATATGAGTGACATGAGAAATGCTTCTTTGGAAAACTTTTTTCTTCAATGCGTAAATGTTCAATGCTAGTTTTCCTGCTCGTTGTCAGACTATAGGATATATACAGGATAAATAAGCTTAAAGTAACCGGTTTATATATATAAATATATTCCCAATTTAATTCGCGATTTTATCTTGACTTTTTAAGGTATTATGGGTTGGGAGTGGCCATACTTGTCAATGGGCTACTTCTCCTGGTTACTGCTGTGTTTTAAGCCCGCACCCAAGCGGCCTCAACCCGAAAATTTGCCCGGTTCCTACGTACCCAATCCTTCGCCATCAAGGGTGGGTGAATCATAAATAACAAATTTCATTTATATATGCATAAACGGATTAATAACCTATTA